TCTCTTTCTCTCTCTCTCTCTCACACACACACACACACACACACACACACACACACACACACACAAGACCTTTCTGTAACTATTTTTGAATCAGGATTTAGTTGAACCTCTAAAATAAGCTTGAGGAGAACAGAGATCATTAAATGCTAAATCTCTTATTCCATGAATACACTGGATTCCTACAGATCCTTTGATTTCTTTTATGTCGTTCAATAAAGTTTAAAATTTCCTGTAAACATCACCCATGTTTTAAGTTAGCTTTATTCCCGAGTATCTAGTGCTCTTGACAATGGTGGATGTGATATCTTAAAATTGTTTCGATTTTCTGTTTGTTGCTGGGTTTTATTGTTTTTATTTTTATTTTTTAATGTAGTTGGTACAGGGTCTCACTACTCAGCTTGGACTCGTAGTGATCCTCCTGTCTCAGTCTCCCCAGCACTGGATTACAGGCTTGCGCCACCACACCAGGTCTCAGTGGTGGCTCAGTGTGCCCAGGGGCAGGGCCAGCATAGCATGTGGTCCAGGTTGTTGCTGGTTTTAAAAAAATGCTCTTTACTTTGTGAATGGGTATTACACCCAACAATCTTGGTAAAGTCTATTAAGTCTATAAATTTATTTGTTGTCTTCTTTTCTAGCATATTTGTATTTTATGTGGAAAATGGCATCTTTCTTTACTTGTTTTCAACTTTTGTATTTTTTCTTCCTCTGTCTTTCCTTACTTTACAGTGAAACAGCAAAGTCTGAACGGAAGTGGTCTAAGGTCTCTGAGCTTTGTTCATGATCTCGAAGCCAGTTCTTTTTATTTTTTATTTTTTTGGCAGAACCAGGGATTGAACTCAGACCCTTACACTTGCCAGGGAAGCACTTATTCCACTGAGCCATCTCCCTGGCCCCTGTTCATGATCTCGAAGTGAACGATTGCAATGTGTCACCAGCAAGCTGGATGTTTCCTGTAGACTTCTTTTCTCTTCCTTTCTTTTCATAAGGAAGATAAGGATGTTCTTTTTTACCCATATTTTGTGCTGAAAGTTTTTCTTATGAACATGTTGAAGTTTATCTAATTTTTAAATTGAGGTTATCATTTGATCCCTCTTGTTAATATGACAGATTATAGTAACTGATTTTTTTGTGTCAAACCAGCCATGTATTTTTTTAATAATCCCAATGGATGTGACTATGTGTTCTATACTTGCTAAATTCTTCTTGATATTATTTTGTTTCTAAGATTGGCCTATAGTTTTTTTAATAGCTATTATTTTATTTTATTT